AAATTAATATCGCAAACTGCCTCCGTCATACACGCAGAGGTGCCACTGATAACTGCAATGGGTGGCATCACTGCATGGTGCAAAGCACTCAAGAGGAGCTTTCCAGAACAAAGCTATCTTCCGTTGCATGCAACATGCAGCATATGCAAACGAGATCAACTGCATCAACAAGCATGAAAAAACCTTCCTCGGGTCAGCCTTCTCAGAAAGTTCGATCCCTGGATCGACGAGGACGGTTTGCTCAGGATCGGTGCCCTGCTAAGAAATGCAAAATCCGATGAGCGTGAACTAAACACCCTCATATCTCAAGCCAGAGCCACATCGCCATTCTACTTGTGCGCTACTACCAAGAGAAGGTCAAGCACCAAGGTTGGCACTTCAGAGAAGGAGCAATCCGATCTGCAGGGTTGTGGATTATTGGAGCAAAATGGTACATCACCAGCACAATCCACAAGTGCATCAGGTGCCGCAAGCTACACAGGAAACAGGAAGAACAGAAAATGGCACGTCTCCCAGCTGATTGACTCAGTCTGGAACCTCCTTTGACCTCCGCAGGACTCGACGTCTTCAGACCATGGAAGTCGTCTTGCATCGAACCAGAGGAGGGCAAGCGAACAGCAAACTTTGGACAGTGCTGTTCACCTGTATGAGTACGCAAGCAGTGCCCATCGAAGTTATCGAGACATGGACTCTTCGAGCTTTACAAATGCACTCCGGAGATTCTTTGCCATCAGAGGGCCAGCCAAGCAACTCCATTCTGATTGTAGAACCAATTTCATTGGAGCATGTAAAGAGCTTAAGACTAGTTCGACAAATATTGAAGATGATTCCTTAGGGAAATACTTTAGTGATCAAGGCTGCACGTGGATCTTCAATCCTCCTCACTTTTCACATATGGACAGAGCCTGGGAACACATGATCGGCATTGCTCGGCGCATTCTTAACTCCATGCTGTGTGATGTCGGGTCCACACGGCTCTCTCACGAGGTATTGACCACTCTCAGCTATGATTAACGCAAGACCCCTGGTTCCTGTCTCGACCGATCCGGAGTCACCAATCATCTTGACTCTTGCTACACTTCTCACCCAGAAGACAGATGCACCCACATCACCCACCGAGGAGGTTCGCACTGCAGGTGTTTAAAGGCGTCAATGGAGAGAGGTGCAGAGCTTCGCCAACACATTCTGGCATCGCTGGAAAAATGAGTAACTTACAACACTTCAAGTGCGAGCAGCAAGTGACAGGAACATCCTGGTTAGAGGGTGCTGACTTTAATTCTAGATTTGAAGCTTTCGTGACTGCAAGGATTCATACTCTTTGTTTTTTTTCGGTAAAGTCACGTAGGTAAAATAAAATTTAAAATAAAAGAAAACTAAATTAAATCACGACGTTTCGGAGGCAACACAAGCTTCCGTCTTCAGGTGGAACAGTCACAGCAGTCACTTGATGCAGCTATCTTGCTGTGACTGTTCCACCTGAAGACGGAAGCTTGTGTTGCCTCCGAAACGTCGTGATTTAATTGAGTTGTTTTCTTTTATTTAAAGTTTTATTTTACCTACGTGACTTTACCAAAAAAAAACAAAGGGTGATGACTTTGTTCACGTGACCAGGAAGTTCTGGGTCAAAGGACCTTAGAGACACGAGGCCCTTGGAGGCGTTAGCCACGAGACAGACATCAAAATGGAGGCAAGTGTAGCATCTCAGCCAAGAGAGGTGTGGAAATACTCTAGGAAGCATTGTCTGTAGGTTTTGTTTATCTTGTTATAATGTTGGGAATGCTGTACTAAGGTTATGAATGCTGCTGTAATGCTGTGAAAGTCTTTATAATACTGTGAATTCATTATGATAAATCTGGGGCCTAGTTATCAGTAAAGCCTGCCACTTACATTATTGTTTACGTCAGTTGTGGCTAGATAAGTCAAGCCAGACTTGTGCCTATTTTAACTTTAATGTGCTCTCCAGAGCAGGGATGATGAAGCATCTCATCCACAGTCAGTGTTATATGTGTATTATACATTTAGGCTGCACTATGGTGATTACTTTAAGTGACCCAATATAACACAATAGCTCATATTGTTGTATAGATATTCAGTGCTATTATAGGTGCATGGTCCATCCAATACCTATTGAGTTTGATGTTATTTAAGCAGAATGTTATGATGCTGCAGTGTTCAACCATTTGAATAATATCGCAAATGTTAATGTATGCTGTATTTTATTTTTATCCACTAGTCTTACTTCGTTCTTCATGAAACGCATAGGAATTTTTGACGTTCATGGCTTTGTCTGTATGTGTTGACGAAGTTGATCTGCTCGAATAGTGGTACAATGCAACGCATAGCGAGGCCGAGACATTTAGTTTACTTTGTTATAAGATTGTAATTCGTAATATTAATGAATGGAATATTCTTTATTTAATAAAAAATATATATCTATTGCTTAATACATCAATAAGTTAGCACTCCAATTCGTTTTACAATAGTAATGTAGTACACATATTTTACAATGTTTCTTTTTTCAAAGCGAGGTAGACTTCAGGAAAACTTTTCTTGGAAATGCAAGTATCAGTGGAACAAATTGACACTCATCTATAAACAGCAAAGGAGCAGCCCTGCAATTACACGGTCATGTTAAGTATCCCTTTCAAGGGTATTTTGTCTCCTCTTCCACAGTGGCCAGACATCTCGGAAGAGGGGGGAGGAGTACCCACACTTTACCCCATGGCATGCGACCTGCCAATAGACTGTGGTGTACAAATTACAACTACGTGGTCCCTCGGTTTACGATGCCTTCGATTAACGATTTACCTCCCATAGGGCCCCATTGTTTCTATTAAGGATACCTTTTCGATTAACGAAGTTTAAGATACCACGCGGCCGCCAATTTCAGCCAATCGGAGGGCTCCAAAGTAGACTCAGCAGACCTCAGCCAATAAGCCGCGCCCTTTTATGAGCGTTTTGAGAGCAACTGGCTAGCTAATGATCCCTCAACCTCCAACACCCCTGAACCTCCAGAGGTTCTAATGGAAGGAGACTCTCCTTCCAAAAATGTATTTTCTCCCACCCCAACTCCTAAGGTAATAATTTTTTTTATTTTATGCTCTATTTATGCACCTTTGTAGGCTCTATTTAGTCATTATTTATCAGTGTTTCTATCAATATTAATTATTTAATATGTTATAACGTTTATGTATTAAAATTGCATGTTTAAATATTATAAACTATGTTTTTAGGGTGAAAAAGCTAAACTTCCCATCGTCTTGGAACAAATTAAGCCTTTATCATGTATTTCCTATCGTCGATTAACGATAACTTCAATTAGCGATGGTTTTCGTGGAACCAATTAACATTAACATCGTTAACCGATTGACCACTGTACTCGGTAGACAGAGGTGGGGCTGGATTAAGAAACTTGCCAATCGCTTCAACTGCCGTGCCAGGGAATCAAATGTTGGTGATCTCTGGACTGCAAGCCCAGTGTGAAAACCATTACATCATGGCAGAAATATGATCTAAATAAAACAATGATTAGAGCAAACACAAATACTATACAGTTAAATACTGTATCATAGAAGATCCATATCACCACTAATATACTGCCAAATGTACTTGGTTGCTTGATTGCGCTTGTATAACGCTCTACAGGGTGAATAAGTTCCAATACGACGCTCTGCGTGCAATGCTGCGTCAAGCCATTAGAAACTGGTAAAGTGGACGTAAATTACTCGTGTAACATCACTCGCAAGAGCACGCAATTATCTCTTTCTCAACCTTGATCCAAATTAAAATTACACATTTCAATGTAGGCCGCAATGTGAGGTTTCAGTGAGGGACTGCTGGCAATAGCTCAGCCCCTCAATCGTCTGGTTTGTGGGTGTGTGTGTGCCCTTTGAGACATAACCAGTGTAAAAGTCGCAATATAAAATACTGTTAAAGTCATGATAGCAAACCACAACCAGAAATGTTTGATAAGTGTGCACTTTGAAACACTGTAAAGTAAATAGGAGGAACAATAACATGTAACTTGATGATGATGTAGGAGACAATGGTGGTATACAACACATTGATATGTAGAATGTTAATGTAAATGACCCACACCACATTCTACCTGCAGTGTTGGTTAAGTTCCACGTGAAGATTCAAGGGGGGCTCAGCAGATATGACAAAATCCATCAGAATTGTGTATTTTATGAGATTAGTGTGAAAATTGATCTTCAGCATAATGTACTGAGCATTTTTAAATGCCCAATTTTCCAAGCATGTGGCATTTGGCTACGTATGGTGCGAAAAAAGTTCAACATACATACTTACATTATGAGACCTCCCTTGCCAGTATCAAAATCTAAGAACAGGTTGTACCCTTTCTGGCAGTAAAACAGTTGTGTTAAGATGTTAAAACACCAAACTGAAACCTTTTGCAAGGAATTATGTCTGCATTAACCACATATACCTGCGGTAAACATACAAACAAAAAAACATGCTATTATAGCATATGCATTGTCTTTGAAACTGACTGGTCCGCACCAAAGACAGCTTTCTTTAGAGCCTAGTCTCAAACAGCGTCAGACCAGAGGACGCCAAAAGGCGAACAGCACAAAGACAATGCCACTATCAGGGCATTGAGAGCTCGGGGTGAGCAGCTACAGCATGCATGTTCACCACAAGTATATGTGGTTAATGCAGACATGAATCCTTGCAGTTTTGTGTTTTAACATCAAAACACCTGTTTTATTGCCAGAAAGGGTAAAACCTATTTCTATATTTTGATACTGGCAAGGAAGGTCCCATGATGTAGCTACTTACCCCGAGCTCTCAATGCCCCGAGAGTGGCATTGTCTTTGTGCTGTTTGCTTTTTGGCGTCCTCTGGTCTAACACTTTCTGAGACTCTCTAAAGAAAGCTGTCTTTGGTGTGGACCAATCAGAAGACAATGCACATACTGTCAGAGCATGTTTTTTGTTTGCATGTTCACCACAAGTGTGTGTGGTTAATGCAGACATTATTCCTTGCAAAAGGTTTCAGTTTGGTGTTTTAAAATCTTAACACAACTGTTTTATTGCAAGAAAGGGTAAAAAACATTATTATACATACATACAGGTCGTGCCCTGCAATTGGGTGCACCTATTAAAAGACAAAGGTGCAGCCCTGCGATTGCTTGCTCATGCCACTGCTGGTGGAAGGGCCTTCACTAGTGGGAGTTAGGCCCCTCCAGAGGGGTATTTTGGCTCACTCTTCCACGCTGACCAGGCATCTTGAAAGAGGTGCACCTCTTAAACTGTTCAAAATATCCAACTCTAAATTTGTGTGTTTAATGTTTCACAGCTGAAGGCACACTCCTTATATACAACTCGTGTACCTGGTGGGCTCCTAGACATCCCCATGTCCTGAAGGGGCTTTCAGGTGCCCTTTGTTGCAGGTGACCGATGACAACGATGCACAGGTGGCGAGCGCAAACGTGGCAGAGCCGAGCATGATGATGGCTCCGCTGAGGAAGAAGGCGGCATTATAATCTGCCGTCAAGTCCACCAGCCAGCCTGTGGGACAGGGGATAAACAGGCCTCATTTAGAACCCCTCTTAACGACCACCCCTGTTAACGACTTGGTCATTGCATTTCGGACCAACACCACTTGAGCAGTGAATTAAAACATGTACATCTGGCCCTCAAAAGGAATGGATACTCTGACCGTACCATCCGCCAAGCTGTTTCTCCCTCCATACAGAAACAACCACTTGATACTCCGATCAAAACCATCACACTACCATATATCGCAGGCGTTACTAAAAAGATCTTCAAAATTCTAAACAAACACAACATCCTGGTCCGGTTCAATACAGTACACAAAATCCGTGACCTGATCCCTTCCGTGAAGGATGTCATTCCTGACTTACAGTACAGCGGAGTTTACAAATTGATCTGCACCTGTGGTGACTGCTATATCGGGGAGACGATACAACATGTCTCTGACCGAATTCGCGAGCACAAATCAGATTTGAAACACGGCAGAACGAATTCTTCTGCCGTAGCTGATCACTGTTACAACGCTGTGGGTGATCACGATATAGTCTTCTCCGATACCAAGGTCCTCTGCAAACCCACGGGTTTTAATCAGAGATTTGTTCACGAGGCAATTCAGATTTGCAAACACAGACACAATTTCAACCGAGAAGATGGTTTCAAATTAAGCAACCATTGGAAAGATGTTCTAAATCGAACCAAACATTAAACTAATTTTCAATGGTACAGTATTTATTCAAGTAGCGGCATTCCAAACTCTCACGGTGGTGTAATGTCCAAGCTTTCACAATAGTACATTTTATGCTAATTCCTTTGTCAAGGCGTTTTCTGTTTACCCCCTCACAGCTTAAAGGAGGCGACCTGCGCTTGGCTTTCTTCACTCCAACGCTGTCCTCTGGACAGTTTGGTCCCTTCACCTGATGAAGGCCACTTGTGTTGTGGCCGAAACGTCATGATTTTTTGTTGTTTTGTTTTTTACCTACGTGACTTTACCGAATAGAACCAAACATTTTTTTTAATCAAAAATACTATGATTCTTTAGACGTGATTTGCCTAATGAAGATAACATTTTAAGTTGTTCATATTAGAAACCACTGCAACAGCACAGTCTGATTTGTGCTTCGGGGAGGTCTGGGGGCGGCTGTGAAGGCGTCTGAGTGAGAGATTTCCCTTCAGTCATTGCGATTAGCAGCTTCGGATTCTAGCCACGCCGTTATGAGACACATTCAGGGTGATGAAAAAGGCATCCATGGCTGTAATGACGATGTCACAACGCTAGGTTGCACTGTACAAATATACCAGGTTACGGCCTACATGCTCGAAGCTTTTGGCAGAGTTGACGAAGTTTTTTTGTGTGGACTTGAGGGTCATGAGGACAGCATTTGAGTGCTCTGTCGTTTTGTTTCGTATTGTTTACAAAAGGCCTACCGTTGGTAGAAAAGACAGTTATATCACTTTCACGGGTAAGCCGATAACATTACGGGGTTTTTCTTAATTAGAACACCATCTTTTCAGAGGTCACTAACAAAAGGCCCACCAAGTGGAAATGTTATCGGAACGAATTAAGCCTTTAACCTGTATTTCATATACTCACTTAATGACCAATCACTTAACGACCGGTTTCATGGAACCAATTGCCGTCGTTAAGAGGGCTTCTACTGCACCAAATATCAGACAATGGCGCTTTCATGATCGGCAAAGATCCAGCCGCTTGCCTCTCGTTAATCATTCGAGATATTTAGGGGTTTTTTCTCCAAAAGAGCTTGAATTGAGATAATTACGTGGACACACTATTAACCCACTCCACTTCATTGAATCTGGTGTGTGTACCACGCACAGCCCTTGTGTAAATCCACTTATGAATGATGGCCTCCCCACACCTCAGGGCTCAAGGGGGTTATTTGACCATACTTCACATGTAGACATAAAAGCAAGTACATAACAACAACGGTTTACGCTGCAGTTCCATCTGCCGCCCACTATATAGCCCTACAGTGGCTTATGACAGCCTGTTTTGTGCATGGTGGTCACCCCATCAAAGCACTATCCAGGCTCAACGCCTGCTTAGCTTCTGAGATCTGGACGAGATCAGGCACATACCTGATGACTTAGTTACATCGCGCCGTGGCTACGTGCATTCGAGCTGTGGAACTTTGACGAGGTTGTGAACCCACGAAGGCGTCCAGAAACACTTAAATGCGCACGGGAATACGGATGTCACCGTAGGGCTCAGTAACCTGCGGTGGGTGGGCCGAGGAGGTAGGGCAGCGCGTGCATGGCGTAGATTAGGCCGATGGCTGTGCTGGCGCCCGCCGGCTCCACCAGGTCGGCCACGAGCACGGGGATGAGCGGGGTGCACGCGCCGTTGAAGTAGCCGTAGAGGGCGGCGAAGGCGACGAGCAGCGGGAAGCTGCGCATGGCGGGGAGGGCGAGGGCGCACGCGCCGTACAGGCCGACCGCCGCGCAGTAGCAGTGCGCTCGCCGCGACCGCAGGCACCTGGGCGAGCACGGGCGGGAGATCGTTACGGACCGTTGCCGTGCTTGCCGAGAGACGCTCACTCGGTGCGTCACTCGCGCATGTTCGAGGGTGGTTGGCGCGGGTCCCTGCTTGCAAGGAATCAAATGAGGGGCCCCAGTTAAATCCCCCCCCCCCCCCCCACGTCTCTTCATCACCCAGTCCCTTCTGCTCATCTGGCCCATGGGTGACAGCGGATGCTGGAGGCGCACCCAAGTTGAGTGGTGTTTATAGAATATAATCATTTAAGTTCTATACGTGTTATTTCAGTATTTAGATGTATCCATGTTGAATTTATTTTGCACCGTATGGAACCAACAGTGCTAGTCGGAGGTGCGCGGGGCGGGTAGGGGACAACAAATGCTATATACGTTCAAACTATTAGGTAATTCTCAAACTCTCTACAAACACCGTAAACCGCTGCCTACACCAGATCACATTTCCGTGCATCTGGCAGCAAAAAAGAAAACCCCCGGAGCCACTGACTCGCGGTCGATGAGCCAGCTGTACGTCACGGTGCCGACGATGTCCATCACGCCGAGGAGGGAGAGCAGGAAGGCCGCCTGCCTCTCGGGCGTCCCCACGCTGTGCGCAAACGGCACGAGGTAGACGAGCGGCGTGATGCACCCGTAGGCCAGCAGGGACACGGACAGGCACAGCACGAGCAGCTCGGGCCTGCACGCCGGGGCCCCGCGGCACCCTCGCCGCGCCGCCGCCATCGCCCCCTCGCACAGCATGGGCGGCCTGCAATGGGTGCGGAAACCGCCGCCGCCGGGTTAATGCGGGGGAGGCCTTAAGAGGCCATGGCCGGCCCTCCGGGGAACTCCGAGCTTGCGGGGGTCGCCAAGGATACGTAACGGCACGTCCCGCTCTGTGAAGGTCAAAAGAGCGATGCTCGGCACGATGGTAAATCCTATAGGTGCCTGGTAATTAGAGCCATAGCATCACTATGGTTCTAGTGCGTTTGCATCACATCGCCTGTGGTGCGCCACTATAGGTGGTGTCCTACAATTCCAACTGGTTTTGTTTGTATTGACTGTCATAGAGATCTACAATTGGTATTTCACATTTAAAAACTAGCACTGAAAAATCCAAGGTGAATTAGGATGGGCATGTTTGGAATCATGCATAGGTGGTGGTAAAATGCTCAAGGGAAGGAATTTAATATACAGATGGCCACCCAAAAACGATTAATCAGGCGCTAGTGACAGGCCACGGATATCTCGACAAATCTGTCTGTCACCTGATGAAGCTAGTTGTAATTACTGGCGAAATGTCGTACTCAGATTTTAAATGTTGTGGCTGAGCTCTCCAACACACCGGTGTGCTGGACTAGTAACGAATTGGCATGTTCTGTTTAGGTGACAACCCTTACTAGTTGGCTGTCGGGTGGTGGCGGCTTTAACGACACATTCATATTTATGCAATCTAACCTGAAAAAACCTGTATTATGGTTGATATTGGTCGCGAAAGCCTATGTGTTAAACTGACAGAGTAAGGAACTGTTAAACATCTCTGCTTTTAGAGTTTACCGCAGGCTGTCATTTGGCTGGATGAGATCCCATTAAAATGCAATAGCTCTTTTCAGACCTGTGCAAGGGAAGGGTTCTGTCACCGTCTATGGCAAGTACAGCATTAATCTTACCAATTTTGTTTTTACATATTGTGTTGTGAGGCAGTGTAGAGAAATGAGGTTTGTGGTAGGCTATCAGTGCAGAGTCGGGGTGTTTTGTTCCTGTTCTGAGTTTTCTCCAGCTGCCCCTGGTTTCGTTCCACGTGAAAATGTATAAGAGGAAACTGGCTAAACAATTATCCTTATAATAGGCACTTGCGATTCAAAAGTCATAAATGACTTGACCTTGCAGAACAACCTTCAGATATCGATTGTAAGTCATGTGTCTAATCAAAATGAATATTACAATGCAGGATTATAGCTTCCACCAAACTATTTCATTGATTTAAGAGTTGATTTAATGCACAGTAGTTATACAATACTCTGTTTTCCAGTCTTTGAAAATCATTATTACAATGTAGGATATTTTAAGTTAAATGTAGATTACCCATATGCACCCACATACAAATAACTCCCATATAGCCTCATGGATTGTCATACCAAGTACTGTATTAGTGAGCCCCTATGAAGTCCAGATTACAGGCAAGCATAGGAATAATATTGAATAACAATATTTGAGGCCATTGCCCTATTGGCTTTTCAGGCCAATATTATCCGGCAACATTTGCTAAAGCAATCAAACGCAGAACCGCTTTTGACCTTCTGGGTCTCTTTTAGCAGAAGCGGGCTTGTTAAAACAAATGCTAAGGGTTACCAGATGTTATTCAAGACAATACGCATTATTGTATTACCAACTCATTATGCACTGTTGTAGAGTGGCATTATGGGTAAAATGATATATATAAACAGAACTCAGATTAATTTTTCCACATTATTATAGCATGGTTTGCTCTGTACGAAGCGAAACAAGTTCAACAAACATAAGCATACAAAAAATATTTATTTTATATATAAAAAAAAACACATTCCACAGGAGGATAAAGAAGAGTATCTGGAGTCACGCACTTGTAGTGGTCGACGGGCATCGCCGTCTCTGCCGGCTGCTTGCCGAGCAGGCCGGGCTTGGCCGTGGGGGTGGCCGACGAGGCCAGGGGCCTGAGCAGGGCTCCGCACACGCACAGCTGCGCCACAAAGGCCCCCAGCAGCAGCAGCGCTCCCCGCCAAGCGTACACCTCGATCAGCAGCTGCTCCCTCCGCGCGACGTTTGGGGAGGGAATGGCATTCAGAATCAGAATTGGCTATATACACGGCTCTTTATCACAAATATCCAGAAGTAAGGGCATAGGGTGAGAAGGTTACAACAACAAACAATACAAAAAACACCATAAGAGTGTAAAGTATAGGAAAGGTAAACAAATATACATAAAAGTACATTTTTTTTAAATCTTCCCAGGTATAAGTTTATTTTTCAGAAGCGACATGGCCACAAATGATAGCTCAACGAAGTGGCTTATCATGTGGAGATTTGAATCGATTGGCGGTGACCCGGGTCACGATGGTGACCCGGGGGTCACAAAACCTCCATAACTCCGAAACTAGAAGGCCTATGAAGACGGGAGATGTCACTGAGCCCGATACGCACGCCAAATATGGAAATAAAAAGCACATGCAAAACACCCATAAAAAAGGGGGGCTGCTGGGGATTTGTGCGTGGCAACGGCTGTTTATCGCTTGTTTTGAAAGTACATCAGGATGCTGGTCTGGTCATTTCCCCAGCACGTTCTGCTTCTTACGGGGGCCACCACCCCCTTGTCATTGGCAGCGAGACCACTTGGAGGCAATGGCGCACCGGGCGCTTTGTTGGTACGGCCGGCGGTCACGGTCGTGCTGGCGGGATCGACATCGTCGTCGTCGTCATCATCGCTCCCAGCGTCGCCCTCCGGCGGGACAGGGTGGTGGTACCAGCGATGCTCCCAGGAAAAAAAAACCTTAAACTATGCCCGGCCCAACAATATTTTGCGGTGACCCGGGCTACCGCCAATCGATTCATTTATATCAGCGAATTGGGAGGGTGGGTATAGGTAACGGTGCATTGCGGCGACTGCCCGTTCCACGCCACTGCCGGTGGCAGGGCGCTCGAGGGAGCCGCTTCAGAGAGTATTTGACCTACGCCTTAATGCTTAACACGTAGTAGGCTTTCGCGACTAATATTAGCCACAAAAAAGAGTTTTTTTGGATTAGATTGCGTAAATATAAATGGGTCGTTAAACCCACCAGCACCTGACACAGCCAATTGGTAAGGTTTGTTATGTAAACAAAACATGCTAATTCATTATTAGTACAGCACACCGGTGTGTTGGACAGTAAACACGCAATTTACAATTTGAGTACGACGTTTCGCCAGAAATTATACATATTTATACGATCTAATCCAAAACAACTCTATGATAGGCCTGAAAGCTTGCCAGATGTTTGGGAAGAAGGGCTGGGAGTATCCACACTTTACCCCACAACGCCCGACCTGAATGCCGATCGACTACCTTGTTGTGCATCCATTTACACCGCTGGATGGACAGAGATGGAAGGGGGGGGGGGCTTAAGAAACCTGACGCAGTTGTTTAAACTCCCACGCCGGGAGATTCAACTGGTGACCTCTAAAATGCGAGTCCAGTGTGCTGATGGCTAGCAAAGACTAGTATAGATCACGGTGATTCAAGAGGGCTACAAGAACTCGAGGGTTTTTTTCCTGACAGCGATGTGGGGGGGGGGGGGGTGGGGGAAATTGGTCACGTTTATTAAACAGCACAGTGCTACCTCTCATCTCTGTGCCAGAAATGAGGCGGTGCCACTGTAGGCAGGGTCCTTTACGATCCAATCTCTCATGAGGATCCTGTGAGACTGTAATAATAGGTACTGGAAAAGGAGGTCTAATGATGTAGATGCTCACCCCGAGCCCTCATTACTTTGGTGCATTGTCTTTGAGCTGTACCCCTTTTGGCGTCATCTGGTCGAGCACCAATTGGCTCGAGGACAATGCATATATTATCACAGTATGTTTTTTGTTTGCATTTTGACTGCAGGTATTGTTAATGCAGACATGGATCATTGTTAAAAGGTTTCAGTTTTGTTGCCAGAAAAAAGGGGAAAAACCCTATTATTACATTTTGGTACTGGCAAAGGAGGTCTCATGATGGATAGGCAGTAATTACAGATGATTTTGAGTAACATGAAAACACTTTCAGTTGATACATGTATATGAACAAAGAACCAGAGGCATCAAATGTCATAAAGGCTGTCTGTAGGCATCTGGTCAGAGACATTCATTTGGCAATATTTGGTGAGGCAGTGAATAGAATTTCCAGCCAGGTGGCGCTATAGTGCATGCCTCTCAATCTGGAAGTTGTAAATTCAGAATATTTATTTATACTGGAGGAATCCGATGAGCTATGAAGCTATTTTTCACAGATGTTCAGTTGGGGCAGGTTAGAACGTTAGTTGTTAATTCAATTCTCGGTCAAAGGTTGACTTAGCCCGTCATCCTTCCATGGTTGAAAGCATGAGTACAGCTTTGTGTGAAGGTATCAGTGGTTGTTCTAAAGAGACATTGGCATATGTCACAGGATTGTGGAATTTTCACCACTGGCTTTGGGGCACCTCCACAAACACCACCGCCACCATTACAGTGCTCATTTTAGCAAAGAGACACTTAGACTTTATGAATGCGAGGCCTTTTGAAAATCTCAAATGCTGAAATTGCAACTGATTTAAATAGGAGTACAGGCATAGTAAATGCACAGTAAAATGAAATGCAGTACATGGGCCCAAACAATATTCAAGTTGGGATAATTCGTCGATTTATCACCTAAACATGTTTCTGGCCCCTTTCAATCTCGTGGTAGCCCAGATATCTCGCCTCTCTACAAGCCACACAATTGTAGAGAGCTTATGATGCCAATGACATCACCAAGCCCTGCCCATCACCTCCCGTCCAGCAACACACATGATAATGGAGGTGATTATTTTTTGAATATTTATTTGGTTATAATATAAGTTTAGTAATCAGTTACTAAACCAATCAGATCGCCCAGCTCTGGACTGGACTTGTCAAATGCTAAAATATAACACCGCTAAATTGTTCGTTTTAAAATGTTACCACATACATTAATTAAATTTAACTACCATAAAAAAACGGAGGAGCCGGAGAAAAATCCACGCGACCATGGGGAAAACATGCAAACTCCAAATATACAGCAGGCGTCAGGGTTGTGATCAAACCCACGACCTCGCGTATACGAGGCGAGGGAGTTAACATCTCGCCAGCGCCGGCGCGCCATAACTAAATTGTTACCACTGAAGTTGTAGCCACCTTAGGCGGTACCGCTTTGTGTTCTGGTCCCACGGATGAACCGGCGCCTGGGTGAGTTTGCTGTCTCACCTGGACCACAGGCGCCAACACGAAGGTGCCCACTCCGTTGCCGGACATGGCCAGCCCTGTGGCCAAGAGCCGATGCCTCTGGAAGTAGCGACTGACAATCGCAATCGAGGGGGAGTAGCACAGCGCGAAGCCTAGGCCTGTGGTAACGTAATGGCAGCAATGCGTGACATGTCATCAGCAGCAGCAGCAGGCATGATCAATCCACTGCTGAATGAAGGCCTCTTCAATTCATCGCCATCCCCCGCGGTTTTGCGGTGATGTAACATGCTTGAAATACGTTTCGGCATCAAGAGCCACTATATTCAATAGTCACATTTCAATAGTCATTTGTCAAATGTGACCACTGACTTTATAATGCCAGATACATATCCTAGGATGTAACTGACATAAAGTCAAGTTCCAAGGGAAACAAGTAGGCTTTCTTAAACCTTGCCACATGTGACCTTACATTGATGTCGGCTTTTATTCGAATGACCTAATAATTAACCAGAGTATCTGTAATGTCGGCCTTTCGTATATAACCCATTTTTTGATTCGCAGTGTGCTGGATTGGTAAACAGTAACTTGTGTCGTTCTATATATTGCTCTCCTATAAATATACCACAATTATTTTACTGTGGTTTGAGATGTCGTTGTCTTAAGTGTTAGGAGATAATGTTTTTGCTTCACTTACAAAACACGGTTAGCAAATAATGGTAGTTCTAGATTTGAAGCTTTCGTGACTGCAAGGATTCATACGCTTTGGTTTTATTCGGTAAAGTCACGTAGGTAAAACAAATTAAAATAAAATAAACAATTAAAACATGACGTTTCGGAGGCAACGCAAGCTTCCGTCTTCAGGTGGGACCAGTCACAGACACTTGGTGCAGCGATTTTGGCTGTGACTGGTCCCACCTGAAGACGGAAGCTTGCGTTGCCTCCGAAATTGTTTATTTCATTTAAATTTGTTTTACCTACGTGACTTTACCGAATAAAACCAAAGAGTTATAATGGTAGTGTTATATATTTAACCTATAAATAAACAGATGGAGTGCTGTGGGTACAGTTGTTACGCACTGCACTATGAATCCGGCAAGCTGCGTTTGATTTCAGGCCACAATTGACATCAGTGGCTACTGATATCAGAGTTCGTACTAGGCACGCTCTTTCACCGTGCTGCACTGACCAGCGTGTTGAAGTGTGATCCAACAACACCTGTGACCAACATGCCATTGGAGGCCTTCAACCAGAAGCAATCTGACAAATATATGTAAATTACTATTATTACAACTTGCGATTGAATGTTACCATACAGTTTCCCCTCATTATTCGCGAGGGATGGATTCCGGATATGCTCGAGAATATCAAATTTCGCGGATAAAGATATTGGCCAACGAAAACATATCACCGTAATATATTACCTTAAATAAATACATAAATAGGCTTTCTCTGTCGTTACTTAATCTCATCGCTTAATCTCATTTTATCTCATCACTTTATCTCATCATTTTATCTCATCACTTTATCTCTCATCGCTTTATCTCGTCATTTTCTCGCATCACATTCTCTCTCATCCCTTTACTTATCTGTCTCTGCAGTTGTGTAGAGTTCCAGATGCGATTCGCAGATAGCGAAAAACGCGGATAGCAATTTCGAGAATAACGAGGGAATACTGTCATTCCAATATACATAATCTGCAGGGGGTGACACCTGTAAACTGGTTTCGTCACATGCAGTCCTCAGGCAGTCGTTGACTCACCAGCCATCAGTCCCAGGAACAGGTAAAGGAATTCGATGGTTGGGGAAAAGGAGGCAATGATGAAACCGGAGGATGACACCAGGCCGCCAAACATCACCGTGGCCCGGCAGCCGAAGCGAGTGCTCAGCAGGCTTCCAATGGGTGCTGCAACACAGCACAGTGGCCACGCCAAGTGAACGGACGTCAACAGGCTCACATGACATTGGCTTCTCCAAGACAGAGGTTCTTTGCAAGGCATCTAGCTACCATGAGAGATTCGTTCATGAGGCTATCCACATATACAAACACAGAGACAATTTCAACCGAGAAGATGGATTCTGGCTTAGCAATCATTGGAAGGATTTGATAAACCATTTCGGGTCTTCATTGGTTGTTCACGCTTACGGTGGCTTTCAGACTGCACCCATTATTTTCGTCTCCCTCCTCTTTTCCGAACATAGATGGACTCGTCCATCTGAACAAGCTGTCAAATCGTTCTCCGTGGTGCTAACGTTAAAAATAACCGCCACTTTTTTCAAATTTTCTTGCTGTGGTTTTCACACCTGATGATGATTGCTTATGTTGCGGTCGAAACGTCGTGAGAATTTTATTGTTTTATATTTTTATTATTTTGTTTCCCATCTACGTGGCTTTACCGAAAGAAAGCCACGAGAAACAAGAATATGAATCCCTGCAGTCACGGAAGCTTTAAATCAAAATATACGCGATGGTTTTTTGTTCAGTTTAAGTTAAAATGTACAGGTGGCTAAATGTGCAATGGATATATTGAGACAATGTATAATGATAATGATAGGCGTACACAAAAGGCTGGGCCCTTGTAGTTTCTCTTCTGAAGCTGCGTAAATTTACAATAAGTTAAATTGATGAATGTTCTGATTCAAACAATGCTTATCACATATTCTTAGTTTTTTCGGTAAAGTCACGTTGAAGAGAAACAACAAAATAACAAAATATATATAAAACAATAAAAAATTCTCACGACGTTTCGACCATAACTCAAACGGTCATCATCACCTGATGATGACCGTTTGAGTTATGGTCGAAACGTCTCACCTGATGATGACCGTTTGAGTTATGGTCGAAACGTCGTGAGAATTTTTTATTGTTTTATATATATTTTGTTATTTTGTTGTTTCTCTTCAACGTGACTTTACCGAAAAAACTAAGAATATGAATTACTGCAGTCACGAAAGCTTTAAATCAAAATGCTTATCACATTTCTATTAATTTAATTCAACAACTTCTAAGTGTAAACTACATCTTGTTGAAAATCCAACAAGCGATTTTATCCCTGAAGCCAGAACCCAAGTATTGCCACTAATAATATAATTAAAATCATATTTAAATTAAAGTAAATATTGTCCCATTAACGCATGAAATTGCTTTTAATCATGTAGTTGAAAACAGTTGCTGATGCACACATCACGATTCTTCTCAGAACAGTGAACATTCAAAGTTTAGATTTGTTCCGTGATGTGTAGTTCTCCCTTCTATCAAGAATATTTCCCAGATAGAGTTTTTTTTGGGGGTTAGATCGCGTAAAGATCTAACCCAAAAAAAACCTATTATGGATGATATTTGGTCATGAAAGCCCTACTACGTGTTTAACCAATATTACCCATTTATGTAGCTTTAAGGTGGCAAATTTATTGCATAATCACTTTTACATTTAAATTCACCAATTATCAGATCGCCTTTCTATACATAAAAAGAAATTATAATACTTTTTGGTTCTTTTTGTGATTTATTTATTTTCATTTTTAGTATTTCATATTTATTTATTATTTATTTTTTCACCTACGTGACTTTACCGAAAGAACCAGAGAGTATGGATCCTTGCAGTCACGAAAACTTCAAATCTAGAATAAAATCAAATAAGCCGTCTCTTTAATTTTCATGTACTTTATTGTATTTACAACCTACCTTTCTTATTTAACCCGTAGGCTTTCGCGACCAATATTATTCATAATAAAGGTTTTTGGGTTAGATCGCGTTTTTTGGGTTAGATCGCGATGATGCTGGATGTATTTACCAGCGAAACGTCGTACTCAAACTGTAAATGTGGATTAACTCTTCAACACACCGGTGGGCTGAAGTAGTGAACTATTTTTGTCTTTTGTCAACGTGACACTTTTTTTGCTGATTGGCCGTGTCGGGTGGTGGAGGGTTACGACACATTTATAAATAAACGCGATCTAACCCAAAAACCTTTATTATGAACTACCTTTCTTATGTTATTCGTTGCGCGCAGTTGCAATTTACTTTGCTCAGTCGGCGTGAGCCGCTCAGGTCGTGATGGGTTTCTTTTTTTATTCCTGTTGCTCTACACCCCCTGTAGCGCTCCGGTTCCATTGTAATGCGCACTGATGCCTATTTTATTGAGGGCGATATTGGCACACAAAGTAAAGATTGGTCGATTTGATTGAGATTATATTTCCCATGCCCCCAATCAATGTCCATAAAGCTGATTATGTGTGTCCCTATGCCGTGACTGCCCGTTATGGCAAAATGGGTTTTCCGTTTTCACAGGTAACACGAAATGAATTCCCCTTGCAGCTTGAAGCGCGCCATTGCACTACGTGCAGTGACGCCGTCCTATGAATTAGTATCGAGCCAGCCCTGCCACTACGCTTGCTTCATATCGCACCTCGGATGTAGCACGGTTGGCTTCATATGGTGCGAAAGATGATCAACATACACACATATGTCAGTGCGTGCTAGGTGAGTGTTGAGTGTCTGTGAGTATCAGGTGAGTGGTTAATTGTTTTGTACGTTCCAGGTGAGTGTCGTAATTTACATCTCTGTCTCAAGTACAGGCTGTTTTCCAGTGTACAATTAAATTGCGTCAAGGTTTCCCTTCCATTGATCAGTGCGGATGTTCGTACCAAACAGCATGGTGGTGCAGTCCATTATTGAGTTAATCCATGCAGTTGTAGATGTGTCCTTTGAGAAGTGTTGTTGAAACTCCACGAAGAAAATTGGTATGCATCTGCAATGGATTACACGAATTACACAGAGGGTGCAAGTTGGTTTGTATATAGTATTCAATTTGAATACGAGGTGAACCCAGTAAGCATGGAACGTTGGGCCGATGGATCCAACTGCTTGCCAACGTTGGGCCAACGTTGCAGGTTTGATATCAGCCATTTCGATGAGCTATCATGTGTGGTCAAGTCACATCTGATAAAGAGCTAAGAGCTCAGTGCGATTTACCTGGTAAATAACGTAGTTTAATTTACAAAAAATATATAAATACAGGAAAACTACAAATGCCTCTACAAGGACTGCACAGATAATCTATGGGACCCTTTTTGCCAGTATCAAGATGATGAAAAAAACTAATAGGTTTTACCCTTTACAGCAAGGATACAGGTGTTAAGATGTTCAAACATGCAAAGCATGTTTATTTTCATGTTTTACCACAAGCATGTAGATGTCAATGCCTTGCGATGTCTATCTATTTGGTGTTTGAACATCTTAACACCTCCTGTATCCTTGCCAGAAAGGCTGGAGCCTATTCGAGTACGCAGATAAATTGATCACATATGCAAAGTAATCTGAAAATTACTCAATTGGAATTTTAACATCGCAAACATCGACTCCCTACTGTGAAAAGCTTTGGCAGAACCCTCTTTAAAATGATAATCAGTGAGGCTTTCATAATAAATCCAAATAAAATAAGGAGTATGTGGCCAGGAATTAAGGATGTCTCTGCTTGATATATTTTTAAGTTTTGGTTATTCAATATCAATTTGATGAAAAAAATAATAGCTTTTTTATGATTTCTGCCAATAAAACAGGAGGCGTTAAGATGTTCAAACACCAAATAGATACCTTTTGCAAGGCATCAAGGCTGCATTAACCACACATACCTGTGGAAAAGCATGTAAACAAACACGCGCTGTAATAATAGGGTTTTTCCCCTTTTCTCTGGCAACAAAACTGAAACCTTTTTACAAGGATTCATGTCTGCATTAACCATAATACCTGCAGTCAAAATGCAAAAAAAAACATACTGTGATAATATATGCATTGTCCTTGAAACTGATTGGTCCACACCAAGGGACGTCCCATGGTGTGGACCAATCAGTTTTGTTGCCAGAAAAAAGGGGAAAAACCCTATTATTACATTTTAGAAGTACTGGCAAAGGAGGTCTAATGATGTAAACACGCTCTGTTAACACTGTTACAATTTTTGTTGTTGTTCTTGGGTAGTAAGTGTTGTTACTAATTGCTTATGCCTCAAAAGTACAGAAAATGGCTATTATTCCCCACAAACTTTGCTTTTGTGACCAGGACAGTGATATTTAGTAATTTACCTATTTTTCAGAACATTCCAGATAGACTCAGTGCTGAGTAAACTTGGAGTAACTTCTAGAACATTCTAGAACTTTCCAGTAATATAAATAGTAGTATAGATACAGGGGCCTTAAGCCCACCAGTTCAGTTTAGTTCCAGCTGCCTAAGTGGATACATTTCTGCATTTTTCTGAGATGGCATCAAGAGGCTGCAAGCATCCGGCAGACGCATTTTGCTATGTCTGCGGCCAATTTATCAAGACAAGAGCGAAAAAGTACTCTGTGGAAGCATCTGCTAAGACGTGTGAGGCCTACAACAAGGCATATTTCAGAATGCCTGTCGGGGATCAAGACAAACCCTGGGCACCTTATTTCACTTGCAAGCAATGCAAAAAACTCTGGAAGGTAAGATGGACAATTGTTGCTCGGAATTTTATGTTATAAAATTTGTAAAAAAAAAATGTTGAAGTTTTACATTTTTAAATGTTTTACAATTTTCAATGTTATTGAAAAAATACATCATATATGAAAAATGTTACGAGAATTGCTTACACATTAGTCATGGGTGAAGTAAATAAATGTTTTGTAGGGTGGTACAGAGGGGAAAAGAGAGCCATGAAGTTCGCTATCCCAAGAATTTGGCGGGAACCCACTGACCACTCAAGCAACTGCTACTTCTGCATGGTGGACCCTTCCAAACGTCGGACTGGCAGAAATGCACCTGCTATCACGTATCCGGACCTTTCTTCATCGCCCCGATTCCACACTCACACGAGCACCCATGACCCACTCCTCCGGAGAGAGAGCAGCCGTCTTTAGTAGAGAGCAGCAAGTCAGAGAGCGAGGAAGACGCTGTAGATCCAGATGACAATTTCAGAGGTGGAGCTGAGGAAAGAAACCCATACTACCCCAATCAAAACGACCTCAACGACTTGATCAGAGATTTTGGTCTCACCTGGGCTCAAGCAGTGGAACTTGTTGGATAAAAGTGTGCAAGTCGCAGATCAGAGGAAGCGTCACCAACCTTTTTGCAGCTTCTTCACCTGTCAAGATAGACTCTGCTTCTGCCACAATATGACCAGTCTGTTCGAGGCAATCGGAATCGCTTGTAACCAGAATGAGTGGCGCCTCTTCATTGACAGCTCATCCAGGAGCCTCAAAGCCGTGCTGCTCCATCATGGTAACAAGTACCCGTCTCTTCCCCTGGCTCACTCGGTGCACCTCAAAGAGAATTACAACAGCATCAAGACCTTGCTGGACGCCTTGAAGTATGATGAGTACGGCTGGGAGGTCATCGGAGACTTCGGCATTCTTGATGGGTCTCCAAGGCGGTTTTACCAAGTTGCCCTGCTATCTTTAGGACAGCAGGGACACCAAGGTGCACTACCACAGGCGGGACTGGCCACAGCAGACCGAGTTCTCTGTGTGGAGGAACAACGTCAAGTTTGAGCCACTGGTGGACCCCCGGAAGGTGCTGATGCCAACACTGCACATCAAATTGGGCCTTATGAAACAATTTGTCAGAGCTTAGATAAGGAGTTGGCAGCCTTCAAGTACCTTCAAGACTTCTTCCCTAAGCTGTCTGAGGCAAAGGTCAAAGCCGGTGTCTTCGTCGGACGACAGATAAAGAAGATCATGGAGTGCAATTAATTCCCCAAGCTCACTAGTAAGGAGAAAGCGGCTTGGAACAGCTTTATCGTAGTGGTTCGTGGCTTCCTGGGCAATCGCAAGGTCGAAAACTACGTGGAGTTGGTTTAGACTCTGGTGAAGAACTACGGCACAATGGGCTGTAGGATGTCCCTCAAAGTCCATATCCTTGATGTCATCTTGATGAAATCAAGGAGAGCATTGGAGCGTACTCGGAAGAGCAAGGCGAGCGCTTCCACCAGGATATACTGAACTTTAAACGCACTACCAAGGACAGTATAACGAGAACATGATGGGAGACTACATTTGGGGGCTGATTCGTGAAAGTGATTTACAGTATAATCGTAAATCTCGAAAAACTACTCAGTTCTAAATCTTTTGTAGTCATTTTTGCATAAATCTAGCATAAAATCATGTTAATTTTGATTCATGTTGTTTTTTTCTGACTTTACATGAACGAAAAGACACAAATTCGCCCGTTTTCTCATTGAAAATAGGTGCATTTCAAAATATCACTGTCCTGGTCACAAAAGCAGAGTTTTTGGAGAACTAATAGCTATTTTCCATACTTTTAAGGTATAAGCAATTACGAAATAACACTTACTACCCTGGAACAAAAATTGCGTCCACAGTGTTATATATGGGCATTGTCTTTGAAACTGATTGGCCTACACCAGAAACAGCCTTCTTCATGGCCTAGTCTCACCACCAGTGTTAGACCAGAGAACACCAAAAGGCGAACAGTAACACCTGTTTTATGTACATAAAGTGTAAAATCCATTCTTATTTTTAATCATTTTGGTTACTGGCAAAAAGGTACCATATTAATTCAATGTATTTTCTGCAGGTGCTATTAACATTTAATAGTTGGTTAATGGAAACGTGTTTCTCGACGTTCATCACGAGGGCAAGTCCTCGGGCATGACACGTGTAATGAGCGACTTCCGCGACACGTCGTGTAGAGGGTACTTCTTTTATTCTTACATGGGCACAACACAGGCCAACGACTCTATCGGCTACACACACGGCCGATCACTCGGTGCGGTTCCACTATCCACACTCGGCTACGCCGCTGCCTGGCGGCGTGACGAGGATGGTGATGGAAGCCCGCAGGAGACCTTCCACGTGGCCGGACGACGGAGAGAGATGACGGAGAGAGATGACGGCGAGCAGCGACGCAGTCCGGACCCAAGACCACACACACGAACCCCGGCCCGCCCCTGCTTATATCCCCCCAGGCGTGGCTAGGCTCCGCCTCCGGCCACGCCCTCTCGTGGAACCTTCGAGCAGGTTCCCGGAGCATCTCGGCCAGCCCCGCCCATTACCTTTGCCCCACATAGCTCTCCCTTTCTGATTGGATGTTTTCTTAGCGGTGCCCGTACCTGTGCTGCCCTTTCCCAGCCAGCAGGTGTCATCATGTCATTACACGTGTACATTGGCGCCCTGTTTATGCATTTTGTTACAGTTTGAGCTCAGTGACCCTGGCTGCATGCCAATGTTTTAAGGGAAGGCTGCATATGTATGAGTTGCATCGCTACAATGCCTGTGACAAAACAAAAAACCCAACCAGCTGCCAGGGGCTCACTTCCACATTGCTCAGTGGACTTTATGCCATCTGCACTATGTTTTCAATCACATGGCAGTGTCTTTAGTGGTTTGCTGATGTCCCCTTTTCGTTTTTGTTTTATTTAAGTAGCTGTGATGACACCTTGTCACGTGATATTCACATGGACGCAACGACATGGATGCAACGATATTCACATGGACGCACGGTGATGAGCACAGCCCTATGTGCAAAAAGCAGGAATCTAGTTGCTTGGGAGTCTAGATTCACATAAAATCCTGATTTCAATATCTCACTTGTGTCTCAGGATAGAATCGTAATGCAACCACGCATTATCATATATATTACATTACTATAACAGATAGTTTCGGGGTGAATCAGTGGTGCAATTGTAAGCAAACTGAGCTAGAAACCTGGCTTCCCGAGTTCGATTCTCGGCCACGGCTATATCGTTAGTGCTGAGCGATGTCTGAACCGGGGATGCATCCCCATCCTACCTCCTTCAATTTGTACTCACCAGCGTGGTGAAGCATGGTCAAAACACCCTCATGACCGACCACGCATGGGGATGCTTGGAGTTTGGATTGACGAAGGGCTGTAAATTATTATTACTGTTATTACATAATGGACAGCTTAAAGGGCTGAGCCTCATCGGATTAGAAAAATAAGCCGGCAATTTCAACACCCTCTGTTCAAATGGCAAGTTATATAAATGACATTAATAGAGTAGAGAACCATTTATTTCCTCATCAAATAAAGGACATTGACAAACCGAAAAAAACTATATTCACCAGGGCTATATAGCTCTTTTTCAGAAGCGACCTGGCTACGAATGATAACGAAGTGGCTTGTCATCGTGTCGAAATGTATAATAGCAGCCAAATAAATACAAAATATTTCCCCCTGACCACGAAGGAATGATCGTATGCCAGTGAAAAATCAGTTCACACGTCTTTGTGGGATGGATTTTTCTGAAGTATTCGTGCGGAATTAACCATCCCGTGCGTATTTATTCCTCCACAGGGAGTTTGAGTAACGAGTGTGCACGAAGGTGGAGGCTCCGCTGAAGGTGGGAAAACTGAGTAGTTGAGAAGTGGATCGGGTCCCCGAATTTGCGGCACTGGAAGATCGCACAGAAAGGCCACGATGGGAGACATTGGTGTGGACAATCTAAGCCCGGACGGTTGAGCATTGGCCTCACCAGTGTGTGTGTGTCACGCGTGTCATGCGAGTTTACATTGGGTCGAATGACAACAGAGCCGCGGCCTGAAACATAATGGGGTGATGGCACAAAACTACAGTAGACATCGGAGTGAATTCATTTGTAACAAACACCAAAAAACAAATAGAAAATAACGTATCCATGGAGGCTGCAGGCCATCAGCGGCGTAGTTTGGGGGGTAGACAGGTCAAAGGTCGGAAAAACATGAATCTCCCAGCAAATACGGGTGTGTAAACATGTATGTGTGCTTGGACAAGCAATTCTCAAAACACGTTAAGGACAGTTCAACCAAGAGGGGCGGTAAACAAAACATGTAATTATGCCGACACATTACGTGGTGTGACAAAACAGGATTTGTATCACAACTAAATTTACGAAAAATAAGCTCCGAAAGAATCGTACATATTTAGGCTGCAAAGCAACATCATCATCAGCCATGATAAATCCACTGCTGGATGAAGGCCTTCCCAAGCTGTCGCCATTTCGTGGTCCCTGTGATGTAACGATCCATCTAGCACCTGGGCACAGGCTGAAATAAAAGGCCTACATCTTTTATGGCCACTCTTGCCCTATACTGGCGTATCAGACGGCATGCGATTTTCAACGTTGTGGCACTTTGCATTTTCTGATTTATTGTGGCGACGTTTTTACTCTCGAGTTTGTTAGATATGTTCACTCAAACTGCATGTGCGTGATTTTTCGTACCGATGCAGTCACTGACTGCCGCAGATGTTATCACGGTTTACATTACAAGTACATTGGATGCAATAGAGTACTGAATGAGTGGCCCATCGAAAGATCTAGATCACCTCACGTCTCCCGTGACTTCTGTGTGGCCACTCCCACTCTCGATCCGTCCCCTCTCCCCGCCCCCTTTTGAAAACAGATGCTGCTTCGTGCAGCTCACTGCAGCTTGCTCCTTCCTTCTCTCTTCTCTTTATTTCCTCTCATCATCTCATCCCCAACATTTTGGCCCAGCCTCTCCCTCTCCTTATACCCTTCCTGTACTTCTTTCTCCCTGCTGCTCATCCTGGGTCGTGCCTTGCTTGTCTTGGGAGCTTCAATCCCGGCAACACTCCCCTTGCCCTGTCAGCCCTTCTACACAACTGCCTCTACTCCCCTCCCCGAGTTGTTTTACTTCAATACAGGAGAATTGCTATGATCCTATTAATTTCAGGAGCTAAGGTCTGTAATAAAATCATAATATCCGTGGCCCTCTTTAAATTATTTTAAATAATCTGCATTGTATCTCCCACTCCCCCCATCCCCCTCAAGTTAATTGCGGAACAGATTCTCATTAATCGTGTTTATTTCCATGAATAAGCAGAGTAAAACCGCGGCTGACCCCGCGGAGAGTCGGAGCAGCTACAACGGGCTCCCCACACAGCCACGTATGAGGAGCTCTACTGAACACCAGTGGCGCATTCCACTCCACCCATGGAGGTAGTCCATTTGGTAGGAATGGAAAATATTTTTTTGCGCAGCCGTTCGAACGGCTTGTTTAGGGCATGGCCGTCGAAAAAGGCTGGTTTGGGTATGGTGATGTGGAGACACTGCAATCCGTGGTTGATGTGTCATTATTCGCAGCATACTGAGCATGTTTATTATGTTTTGCTAATGCGCTGTTATGAAGCCAACTCGTAAGATGTGACCATTTCAATCTTGTGCTGTAGTTCACAAGTAATCAATGTCATTTGTTTAATGCTGCGCAGGTAAATCCTTTCAAAAAAATCTGTCTGGATTCAGGATTTAGGACAAGTTGTAACTTTTTGATTGAATGAAGTAAAAACCTTCACAAGGATGTGTAAACGGCCTTCAACTGATACCCCAACAAAGTGGTTTATCACGCGGAAATGTATAGCGGCAATCAACCGCATGTTTCTACATGTGAAGGGAAAAAAGCAGAGGATCCGAAGAAAAATCCACGTGCCCACGGGGAGAGAGAGACACGGAAATTCCAGCTCATGTACAAGTCCTTGGATGATAGCGAAAAATCATGAGAGATGGTGGCGGCTAAGGAAACCTTCATCCAGTCGTGGAATTGCCATGGATGATGATGATGATCCTGTTTACTATGCAGATGTCAATGCAAAAACCTCTGAAAAAAAATTCCTGGTTAAAAAAAAAATTCCCGGTTAAAAAAAAAAACAGGCCAAAGTATTGTGTTGTTGAAAATATGTAAACGTCTATTTGTTTGGTGAAACGCGCAGATGTCTCCATTAGCAACAATGGGACACATTGCCAGTGCGGTTTTGTCTCTGTTAGTCAAGAAGCGAATCTGGCCCTCGGCGTATTCTATACAATGTGACATTATTTCATAGTGTGGATATATTCTTTAAATTTACTTTATTATTCAATGCATTAGGTATAAGAAAAATGCACGTAAAAAACACCCATAGATGAGAAATTTGTTTTGATTAACGATAAAATAGAAAAGTGTCCATTGATAACAAAGCCGATAGCGATATCTAATATCTGAACTGAGCCCCCACTTTTTCAACCTGCACCGAATGGCGAGTGGAGTATGGTTAAACAACCCCCATGACTGCCACGATATAAGGACCTTATTCCATAGTGTAATTTGGAAAAGCTGTTAATTATTATTATTTGAAAATTAGTTGAAAATTCGATAATAATAATAACGATTATCTTGGTAATTGAGATAAATTCAACCATACGGCATATGAAACCGTTAAACGTTCACAAAAAAGAGGTCAGCAGTTCAACAATCACTAGATGAGAGTTCAAGAGTGGCCAATGTGTGTACAGACTGGCTCTTCAACAAAGCAATGCGAAATTTCCACCACCGGCCCTGTAACCGTCAGCTGAAGATGAGCACATTCAAATGTCCACGTATAAGGACAGGGACACTTTGAGCGAACATTTCTCTAGATACAAAGGCAAGGCATTCTCTGAGAGTAAAAACGGTGATGACGGGAACACGATGACAAGTGTGCGGAGAACCGGTACTCGAAAACTAACCTTGTGATGGCGCGCGTGCATGCGGTGACCGTGAAGCAGCTGCAGACCACGACCCAGCCCCACCCGCCGTCAGGGGGCTTCGGGAAGGTTGTCTTGCTCATCGTTTCGGTGAGTCTGTGCCTCCTCCACTGTCCACCTGCAAAGCGTGGGCGCGTGGGGCGAGTGTGCGTGCGATTGCAGAAGGTGCACGGCTTTGAACACAGCACCGCCGCTCAGTGACACGGTCAACTGCTTACAGGGAAAAGCGGTTAACCATTGGAGTCTCAAGTCAGCAAAAATGTATCACGGTGCGTGTTGTTGCTGTATAGATCGCCGCTGCCCTTTGCACAGACCTGAATGAGGGTGTGTTAGACTTGTTAACACGGTACCCGCTGTTGTTGATCATTTACGGGGCGGGGGGGGGGGAGCCCCGATTATCGAGCTGTGTTGGAAATGCAAAGTTAAAAAGGAAACATAACCTTAAATTTTGATTTAAAGCTTTCGTGACTGCAGGGATTCATATTCTTGGTTCTTTTGATAAAGTCACCACGTAGAAGGGAAACAATAAAATAATAAAAAATATAAAACGATCAAATTCTCACGACGTTTCGACTGCAACACAAGCAATCATCATCAGGTGTGAAAACCACAGCAGGACTTTACCGAAAGAACCAAGAATATAAAGATAACTTTGGTTGAGTTTTGTGAATGACAACACTGCGTGAAGTAGTATGTTATCATTACTGTGGGATATTTTGTATTCAGAATTTAAATGTAAGTCATTCAATGGATATGGCTTCATGAGGGTCGTTTAACTTATGACAGTTGGCAACATTGCTGAACACATTTTTTTATCCTCCAGAAATGTTAAACGACAAATCTAGAGCACAGTGAGAGGAGAGTGAGTGTTGGAAGGTTATGGGACAGTTTGATTTGTGTCTAATGAGATTTCCAGCAGTTGAGCAACCTTGAAGATTAACCCCAAAATCGTTGTCATTCCAAATCAGCAGGTTTTTTTTCATCCTGCAAGGGCTGCTGAAAGGGCTTCCACGAGATGGGAGTTCTATAGAGTTTCTACAGATGGTGTTTTTTGGCCTTCTCTTCCATACCGGCCAAACGTGAGGTGGGATTACCCACACTTTACCCCACCGATCGACTCATTGTGGGATGCCAATTTTCAACCATTTGTGTCGGAAAATCGAACTGATGACCTCTCGATTGCAGGTCCAGTTTGCGACAGCAGCAGTCTCATAGGTGAGTGTTTACTGTGCCACAATGCTGGCAACCAAATTGTATTCAGGGCCACGTGCAGCTACAGTGAAAACTTCGTGGGACCTCCCTTGCCAGTATAAAAATATAGGAATAGGTTTTACCCTTTCTGGCAATAAAGCAGTTGTGTTAAGTAAGATGTTTAAACACGAAACTGAAACATTTTGCAAGGAATCATGTCTGCATTAACCACAATACTTGTGAACATGCAAACAAAGAACATGCTCTGGTAGTATATGCATTATAGTATACGCATTAAAAACTGTCAGTTAAATTTGACCCTGGCCTCTCTTCGTAGGCTATCTGCATTATTATTGACTCCTGATGAGGTGTGGGTAACATCAGCCTTGATAAAAAAAAAAGCCCAGACTTCTTAGCATGTAGGATCCTGGCTGCTATTGGCCCGAGTGATAATAATTCTCACATCAAAAGCCTGTATGGGATAAGTATATTTGTGCGTGTGATTTTTTCCAGCCACACTTTGTGTACGGGGAACAATAATATTGTGGTGTGTGTACATGCGCAACGGTCACAGTGACCCGGGTTTTATTTATGGATATGCATTAGAGACAAGCGGTAAACTGAACCTGGCCTGAGCCTCCCCTCGGTCGACTCAGCCTAAAATGAGTACCTGGTGCGGTGTGTAAAAATAGCTGCTAGGTAGACAAAGGCGGCCAGGCGTGGTGCTGGCCACCCACTTCCTCGTGTGCCGTATCGGCCTTCTTAAGTGCTCGCTAACAGCACTTGCCTCAAAAGGCTGATGAGGTTATATGGGGGATGTTTGTTTGTGAGATGATTCGTTTCAGAATTAAATACTGATTGTTGTTGATTGTTGTAAAACACAACATGCATCAATGGAACAGAAAGGCAAATTATGTGGCAAGTTTATCTGGCCTTCACAGCAACAAGGAGAAAATCTGAGCCAATTCAAATGTACAACAGTGTAGTAATACCAGCATAGATCTCTTGTGAACCGACATCAGACTTACATCAACAAGACAGGTGGACTGCTGATCTCTTCTAGAGGCCTGATGCTCCCGAATGATCAGATGCAGAGGTAGAAATTGTCAGAGAGAGTTTGTCGATTCCAAGAGCCGTTCGAGAACCTGTGGGAGACATGTAGTCAATGATAAACTGGTCAGCATTTCAGCTTGAAAATGTCAGCCATCAATATATCCACATAGATTCTTTAATACACATGCCTTTGGAAATCTACTACCGATGATTGGGCTTGTTTGCCCTCATTTCACCAAACTGGCCAGTGTGGGTTGATGAAGAGGGGTCCTGGAAGCGTTTTTGATACAGCTCGCCGCTGATGTTATCCACTGCTGAAAGTGAAACTCAGGCTGCTGAGTTCATGGCAAAGTGCTCAAATCACTGCTCCAACACTACACCAAATCACTAATATTCCATAGCTCATTAATCACAACCTGATTGGAAAAAGCCAACCAACTTTAATTTGAAAAAGGCAGTGGCTCGATAAATGAGCATGGGGTGACACTTTCCATAGTACTACCATCGTTGACTTCCAGCAAAGTGGTTCTAAAGTTATCGACCGAAGTGAGATGATGGGTTAAGTTGATCACCAATCAAAATGTTTACTTGCAGCCTTCCAATTGTTAGTGGAGTGCTCATCCTCAGTGCCAGAAAACTTTTTTTGATTCTTGTAATTTTGAAACATAATTGGATCTCTCGCAGCGTTCTGTTAGAGAATGCCACACAGAAGTGGACATCACAGAGCTACCTCTGATATTTCTGCAAGTGACCTCTGTTCCATATGAAAATTATGTTCATCACGTAACAGTCAATCCAATATTTTCATTCTCAAAGAGTTGGAAATCTGCCAAATAAAATGTAGAACCAAATGTATTGTGACGGTTTTATGTGTGTGCAGTCATTGGTGACTTGGGTTGAGACCACTAACTCACTACATCCGAGAATCCATATTAATCACAGTTGGTGGGCCTGTATTCAATACCCAAGATCTAAGTGGTACCAGTTCAGTGCTGGCCCCTCAATGTGCCAGGTAACCTGAATTACAGTGTTTTGCAATTGTTCATATTGGGTGCTTGCTGAAATGCAGGGCCTCTGCTTTTAAAGGTACAGCTTGTGTGTTTAGAATGCCTCGAGTGGAAAAGTGAACAGCAAGCGACTTTCTGTGTGAGATATTTTTGCTTTGATCGCTGTACAGTTATTTGTGCAGTTGTAACACATGCTAGCCAAAGGGCCTACACACCTACACATGGCAAATGCCAAACGCCAAAAGGTCATCGCTGAGAATGGGTGATAATTAATAGGCGGTGTTGAAAACAAAGTTATGCAACCGGTTTATGAAATATGATCGTGTTCTTGAAATACAGTGTATAATTGATGGATAGCTTGCCTAGTCGTGGCCTCTAGCCAATGGCGTGGTGCCATTCCTGCACATATCCTACCCATGTCTTGCCCAATCACATCCACAACGCTCGGCTGTTACATCTCTCTTAAAAATCCCCAGCGGCAATCCATCTCAGACACCTGTGGCGAACTATTTTATTTACCACAAAGCGACCTGGCCACACATGATAGCTCATCGAAGTGGCTTATATTATTACGTGTGGGAATTTGATAGAAGCAGCTAAATCATCTAAATGCACGTGACCACGATAGTGAGAGAGAACACGTGGACTCCAAATATACCAACAGACATTGTCAAGGTCTGGAACCGAAGGCAAGGGAGATAACATCTCTTCGCCACCCCTAAATCACACTGTGCAGTATATATAGCAATGAAGTCAATTGCATTACAAGTCCCATGATAACCTCAGCAAATGAATCATCCTCGCCACATTGAATAACAATTACCCTTTTCTCTTACACCAATCCACACAATACTGCTGTGTGTGCGTTGTCACAAAAAAAGGGTTCACATTCCCATGCTTTTTTCAGCATTGGCAATCGTCAACTACCATTACTGACCCTGATAGCCAGTGGCCAATATTTTACATCCTCATGGGGTGGTTGGGACTAATCTGTCACAAAAACAAATACTGTACGGTTGACTTCTTGCCCAAGTGGTATTCATTAAGTGGTATTGAGTTTAACACGTATAAGTGGTATTCATGTAACGGACCACAGGGGGAATGGTGGGGCTGAGATGACCCTGGGATTTCACCTCTCGTGGTTCACCGTGTGCGTTTCTCTCTGTTGCAGTGGTGGCGGCGAGGCCGAGAGCACCGCCGACGGGCACCGAACGCCACGTTTGCGGTGTTGCCATCCCAGCGTTCGCGAGTGGGTGCAGTGGTAAGCTCACCACAAACCACACACCACATCGTGAGCAAGAACAGCTGTGCTCACATGCAAAGTGTGCTCTTACCAGAAGCTGCTCCTTTGCCTTTCCCTTCCCCACCGGTGCAATGTAGGCATGCGTTGCTTATATGAAAACTGTGCTTGTACAAGGCGCGCTTAAATCCAGCTCCTGCTGTATTGCGCCTGCCATCAGCCACCCGTAAAATAGGGGTGCCGAGGTGCTGGGAAATGGCTTGTGCTCAAAAAAACATGTGGCAGTTGGACTCAGCGATGTGATTGATCAATTCAGTAGACAATGTGCCTCCGTTCGCGTCTCAACTCACCATTCTTCATCTTCCTCTGTGGTGCTATATGACGATCAATTGGGTGTTAAACTGGATGTTCTGGTTTCCATGGTAAGTTGTGAAGTCAAATATTTCTGGCAAATATGTTTCAAACCAGCCATTTGTCACCGGGGATGTTCCAAGTGTTGCCCATAAACATTTAGAACACATTGTTCAACCGAGGAAATACCTTTCTATCCTAAAGGTTTTGATATATAATGCACACTTTTTTAGGTAACTACGTATCCCTCCACGCATTGCTCAGTGACTGTAAACTTACTTTTAGCTTTGCTTATTAAACAGTGTAACTTTTACCAAACTATGTTGGCGAGATATTAACTACCTCGCTTGGTATGCAGGAGGTTGTGGGTTTGATCCCGACTCTGACGCCTGTATACACGTATTTGGAGTTTGCATGTACTCGTGGTCACGTGGATTCTTCTCCCGGTCCTCCAGTCATCCGGTCATTCCCTCCATATTTAGAATCCACGTGCATTTAGAGCAGTGGTTCTTAATCTGGGGTGCACACACCCCATGGGGGTGCGAGACATGGCCAGATTTTTTAAAAAAGGTAAATCATCACAACACAAATTAAGCACGGACACATAAGTACAACTAATTTGTTTCATCAAACCCTGTATATTTATTAACATACATTTTGTTTCAGGATTGAGAATGAAAGGGGTGCAAGTCTGTAGTAAAAGTTAAAAACCACTGATTTCGAGTTTTTGGCTGTGATACATTTCCACGTGATGATAAGGCACTTCGTTGAGCTCTCATTTGTGACAGGTCGCTTCTGATAAAGAACTACATAGCCCAGTGGGCCTTATCTGGTAAGATAAAAAAAAATGCTTCATAAAAAATAGTTTTAGTTTTAAATGCTTCATAAAAAATAGTTTTAGTTTCATTTAAGTAAAAAACAGACTTTTATTCTATAAGAGAAGCAGAATACCTTACCTTTTAATCATATAGCCATCTTGGCAGAATACAGACGAAGGTGTTTCCTGAAGACCATCCTGCTGAAACTTGAGGATCTTCCTGAAAGAAATGGAACACACTGAGTCAGCCTAGGGGAGACCAGGGACAGGATGAGATGCCACATGCCACCGATATTCATAGCATACTCTACCGTGATGTAGTAGAGTACACTAATCACGGCTCTATACTATTCTTGCGTATGGTAATATGTTCAGGACCTAAATTCCAATGTTGAGGTATCCTAGCCATGGGTGGCCTTTAGGAGAGAGTTGGTGTAGTTTTGATATTCCTCTGTTAAAGGAGCACAGATTCCAGTGGTTTACTACATGGCCCATAGTTTGGGTTGCATGGATACCATCACACTGTGATCACTATTGCCACCACACACAGACTCCTGGCTCAGCCCTACAGACTAGGTAAGTGCTGCATACATATGTAGTGGGTTCCAGGACACGGAGACGGCGAAGTAGAAGCAGCACTATTTATTTAAACCTTAACAAGGGTTACACTAGAAGGGGTAGCGGCCCGTTTACCCGTATAACTCAGGAACACACCCCAGGCTCTCTAGCCTAAGCTCTAGGCTCCCAGTTCCTCCGGGTAGGGCTCTAAGGGAGGCTATCAGATCTGGCCCTGGTTAGGCACAGATCCCGGCACCCCGCCGACCAGACTGGCCCTTAGAAGGACTCTGACTCTGGGGCTCTGGGGCCGCACCGCCGGCTTGCTGTGCCGGCCCTGAAAAGGGCAGCGGTCACAGGAGTTCCAGGGTCTCACCTAGCTGGCCTTCTTTCTTCACTGGTTGCTTCAGCCTCGGGCCCAACACTCTGCCCCGAGCTCCCTAGCTCCCCGCACTTTATACCCACAGGGGGTGGAGCCTTAGCGGACGTTGTTGTAGCCCCCAAGGTGTGGGTGAACCACACCTTCCCGTGCCATGTGTTTATTCCCCATAGCACCCCTACACATACATATATATTTGCATATACGCATACTCACATATGCAATGATCTGTCATTCACAACAAAGACTGTAGGCCTCCATTTGTTAGCTATGTTAAGCTGTAAGTGATGTTACAATGACAAAAACCTCCCATGTAGCTATGTAAGCTGTAAGTGTAAGTGATGTTACAATGACAAAGACCTCCCATGTACCTATGTAAGCTGTAAGTGTCGGTGATGTTACAATGACAAAGACCTCTCATGTAGCCTTTAACAGACTGGTGGGGCAAGTGCTGTTCATTGCACACCACGGACCAGGAGATCATAAGAATGGAGCACCACTAAACATCCAAGGGGCCAGAAATTGTTTGTGAACCTCATCCTGACCAAGAAGCTACACGTATTCCAACTGGACTCTGAGGTCACATGTGATGGCGTGAGTCTGAAAGACAAAATAAACCTCGCACTCAAGACTCAGATACTGCTAAGTGATACCAAACTGAAGCTTTACTCAGCAGAGCTGATGAAGTCCTTGGGCCTTTTCAAAACAGAGTGTCTCATACGTGGATAAACGTAGAATGCCTGAGTTTGAAATCATAGAAGTCAATCAGAAACCGCCATTGACCGGTTCAACATGTGAGCACCTGTTACTCATCCGGTTCACCATCCCAGTGGAGCCGAACGAGGTGGATAGCCAGGGAAATGGGCCCCTGACCATCAGCAGGTCATCAGTGCCTGTGAAGACGTGTTCAGTAGGCCAATGGAATCCATTCCAGGGGATGTCCATGTTGAACTCGATCCAAGCATTCCACCATATAGAATGTGCCCCGTGCAGCACGCCAATTGCCGTCAAGGCAGGGTGTAAAGGCATAGCTGGATAAGCACGAAGCAGATGGCCACATCACATCGTTGAAAGAGTTAACCGGCTGGATAAGCATGGTGATTGTGAAGAAGCCAGAAAAGCTGCGGATCTGCTGAGATCTGAAATTTTTGAACCAATCACCACGGAGATCTCATGACATCATCCCCAATACTCAAAGACGTCTTGTACGAAGCTACCTAAAGCACAGTGTTCACGCTTGTTGACGCACGTAAAGCATTCCTGAAATGCAAATGAGATGAAGAGACGCAAATGAAGCTGCACGACAACCTTCTGGACCCCCTAGGGCAGGAAGCGATGACTCCAAACTACCGTTTGGTGTCTCCGTGACACCAGGGGTGGTGTATCAGCGCAAGCGGCACGAGCTGTTGGCTGGGCTTAGCGGAGTTGAGCCAATACATCTATTAAACTATATATTTTTTTCGATTTAAAGCTTTCGTGACTGCAAGGATTCATCTTCTTTGGTTCTTTCGGTAAAGTCACGTAGAATGAGAAAAAAATAATAAATTGATAAAATAAAATAACGCAATAATATTCTCACGACGTTTTGGCCACAACACAAGCAGCCTTCATCAGGTGAAGGGGACGAGACTGTCTGGAGGACAGCGCTGGTAAGGCCCACTGAGCTATGTAGCTCTTTTTCAGAAGCGACCTGGTCACAAATGACAGCTCCACAAAGTGCCTTATCGTGTGGAAATGTCTAGCAGCCAAATACTCTAATCGCGTGATGCTGATTCTAAATGTGGAGGGGACAACTGGTGAACCCGAAGAAAAATCCACACGGCCATGAGGAAGATATCAGGCAAACTCCAAATATATACGTGTCACGGTCGGGATCGAACCCACGACCTCTTGTATAACAGGCAAAGTATTTAACATCTCGCCACCATGGGGCCAATAGCAGATGACATTCTCACCATTGGATGCAGGGATACGGACGATGAAGCAGAGTGTGACTACGATAATGAGCTTCAGAACGAGCTGCAATTCGCGGTGAAGAAAGTCAACTTTCCTGGACACATTCTGTCCTCATACGGCTTGAAAGCTGACCTGGACAATATCAGAGCTAGTGTGGAGATGCCAGAACCCATTTATGTGAAATTAGTGCAGCGATTTATTGAGTTCGTGAACTACATAGCCAAGTTCATGCCACACCTCTCAAGAGGTGCATGAAGGCTCCTGGACAAGGATGCAGTCTGCCATTGGCTTCCATAGCATGATAAAGCAGTGCAGGAAATTAAGCACCTGGTCACAGTTATGCCAGTGTTAAAGCACTACGACGTTACAAAGCCCGTCACAATAAAGAGCGACTCAAGCACAAGTGGCCTTGGATGCTGACTTATTGAAGAAGGACAGCCCATCGCTTTCCCATCGAGGGTGCTGACCCCAACTGAACAGAACTGTGCAAAGACTGAAAAGCAATGCCAACGTATAGTGTTAACCAGCCAGCAATTTGTCTACAAACCAGGCCCGGAGATGTACTTCAGCAACACATGCTCAGCAGAGCAACAGGAGCAGACGGGATGTCCAGAGACGTGTGTGAGCCACACACAATTTGCAGCACGCAGCGAGAGCGAAATGACGGCGCATTGATCAATCAGGCGGAGCACGTGAATGTCAAGAAACCGGCGGTTTTGCCAGATCGTGTGGCACACTGCAAGAGGTGAAGGTCTGCAAGCACTGAAGTCTGTTGTTCTGAATTTATGGCCAGGGGCAATAGATGAAACGCCTCATTATCAGAAAATATTGGTTCTTCAAAGAAAAATAAGCATACAGATTGGGATTCTGTACAAAAAATTATCATACCCAAGTCACTGCGGCCAGAGACGTGAGCACGTATATACTTGAGCCAGGTTGGAGAAGCATGCTAAAGGTGGGCACGTGACACCCTGTACTGGCCAAACACGCAAAGTGAGATCACAGACATTTCCAGAAACTGTTCTACCTGCATAAAGTATGCACATGTGCAGTGAATAGAAACCACGATGTCGCACGGGATACCAACACGGTTCTGGCAGATCGTCAGCATTGAGTCATTCAATGACACTGGCTGAGATTATCTGCCAACTGTCAACCACCACCACCACGGACTTCTGGGAAATGAAGTTGCTACTGGACTTGTCTGCCGGGACGACGGTTAAGCGGGGCAAGGCGCGGCGCAGTCCGAGTGCCGCGGCCAGCCGGAGCGAGTAAATCACAGACAATGGACCCTAAGTTGCGTGCCATGGAATGGGAGTTTGAGCACCGTCACCTCACCCCCACACCACCCGCAGGCAAATGGAACAGCTGAAACCGCGGTCGAGATAGTGAAGAACCTGAGAGCAAGAAAACTTAAAGTGAGGCTGAAGACCCATGGAAAGCCATCTTTCATTGGAAGAACGCGCCAACAGAAGGAATCCATAGCAACCTAGCAGAGCACCTGTCGTCTAGGGGGCTGAAGACATCGTTGCCAGTGGCTAACAAATTGCACGACCCCTGTTTGGTGTGGTACCAGGTGGTACCAGAGAAGCCACAACAGAGAAAGCAAACTGCCAAAGCAGCATACGATATATCTGCCATAGACCTGCTTGAGCTGAATATTGGTGCTCCCATCTGCACGAAGTCACCGCCCAGAGATAGAACAGGCCACTGGAAACTGGGTGGCTGTGTGAGGAGACCTGCACTGTGCTCGTACCTTGCGGATGTCGACGGAGCCCTCTACTGTCACGACCGGGTCGCTCTGCGCATGGCAGAGGGGCCAGCTATGCGGGACTTTTGTGAGCCAGGCCACGCGCACAGGGCCAGCGGAGGTGGCACGCAGGACCCGGGCCAAGCCGGGAGAGCGGAGGATTTTCAGCAGATGTGCCGCACAGCGGCAACCGCGAGGAAGCGAACACTCCGGTCAGCATCCCAGTGCCCAGTCTGCCAACCTGGAGAGATTCTGGCAGCCAGCCCATCAACGGCCGCACAAAGGTGTCCTGTTTATTCGCGCAGCGGACAACTTTCAGAGCCACCGGAGAGGCTTGATCTCTAAGAACTGATCACGTAGGATATCGTATGAAGGACATTTCATTGAGTGTTTAATTCGACTGTTTAGTTGGAATTGTTCTCGAAAAGTTGATTTGTCCTGAAATCGTTCGAAATGTTTGTTTAGTGACTGTTTGATCCGTTCTTTTAATTTAAATGGTTGTGTTCATTTGAAAAAGGGGAGATGTTTCAGGAAGTCATATCACATCATGGTATTATACGATTGTCATCGTCCATGAGATGTTTTTTGGTCAGATCACATAATTATAAACTTGTCGTTAACCCACCACCACCACCTGACAAAGCTAATTAGTAAGGTTTGTCACGTAAACAAAACATGCCAATTCGTTACTAGTTTAGCACACCGGTGTGTTGGAGAGTAAAGCCACAACATTTACAATTTCAGTACCATGACGTTTCGTCAGTAATTACAACCAGCCTTATCAGGCGACAGCCAGAGTTGTGGAGAAATCCTCCAGTTTGCGTCTTAAATAGAGGGATAAATGTGATGTCGTCACTTGCGAGCCAATCAGGTGCGAAGGCGAGATGGGGGGGGGGTTAATGTACGCATATAAATTACAATAGATATCCATTACCGGTTGGGTTATTCATAGGGCAATCAACATAAATTATGCATCCCCACCATACATGTAGATTCTGCGGTTTTTGGGCGAAAGAAATCACAATACTTGCTCACAATCATAACAGGTTGCTATAGCTTTCGTCGTGCTGCATGCCGTCATTGGCGCTCAACATTAAAGCTGAGACTTGAGTCTGGTGTTGTTAATCTCTCATGCATCTAGAAAACTGTTGGCGAGAATCTATTGAGGCTGGCTCGATAAACAAGGGGGCGGTGTGGACAGAACCACACCTGGCTACCCTTCGTCTCATACATCTAGAATCAGACTTGATTCTGGTGTCGTTAATATCTCATTCATCTAGAACACTGTTGGCGAGGATCTACTGAGGCCGGATTGATGAAGGGTAGCTAGTTGTGGCCAAAACCACATCTGTCTACCCTCCGTCCCACCGGTGCTGATTGTGGTGCACATGTACACGGGATATTCGTTTAAGCTGATGGAAGAGAAGCCCCAGGCCCAATTCAAATTTCCTCACCACTGATGTTGGATGTGGCCAAGAATTGAACTCAGGTTTCCCGGTTCTAAATGCAGTCCACTGACCACTACACTTCCACTACCTACAAAGTGATATTTACACACACATCAGTATTCAGGCCTGAAGTCCTGGCATCAGATTTTCATTACAGTGGTGTAAATGTGACCTCACTAAATAAAAGCCACTTACCTTCTATCTCTGCATGGATTTCAAATGTTTTACAATACTAAAAACTGAAGGTAATTGTTTTTAATCAAATTGAAAACTAAAAATATATATACAGCGGGCATTCTCACAGCCGTGACACTGTATCTATCACGTTAGGATTCCACTTCACTACGCCATTCGGTGTGGAAAGGCAACGGCAATAATGCTCCTACAAATACAGGCGCTGCGTGATGCCTCGTGTCTCTGACTCTGGATGCCGTCCAAGCAACATGCGTACACAATCCTAACACTCTTGACAGGAGCAGCAGCAGCAGGAGATAGGGCATCTTCACAATCAACACGGATCGTTGGCCCACACATCTGGGCAACGTTGTCTGTCCAACGGGTTCCAACCGCATGACGGATGCCAATGTTGCCCCAACGTTGGCATATTTGCTGGCTTTAGCACAAAAATAAAATAAAACCATCCCAATATAAGCTGCAGGGTGAGACGCTGCTTTGTAAGCACATGCCCGAAGCGCTATAACGCGAAGCTAAATGCTTCCGTGTGTTTAGAACTGTACATTATGTGCATGCAGTCCCAGGACCAAATCACCTGGCTCTCCTTTACACCTGCATCGTGCTCGGGACAGGCGATTGCCATGCTGTAGACTGCGGGGCAGCAGACGGCAATACAGCGAAGACACTTTCATGCTCTCGCATCTACACTCCCCGCCTTCGTTGACTAGAATGGTGAAGTATGGTCAAAATAATTGCCACGATCTGCACGGTGTGGAAAGGCCCTCATCCAGTAGTGGATGAGTGCACGTGTGTTAAATGTGTGTTTCGCACGTGTGTGTATTATATGATGTAATTAAGAGTGCAACATCTAATGCACAGCCGAAGGCAAGGTATGCATATGCCAGTCGTGACAAAGTGAAAGGCATTGCATTAACATGCAACATCATAGAAATATGAGAATATAGTGTAAGAGATTTCATAAAACAGACATTTCAGCTGAAATTGCTGCACTACAATAATGCCAAGAACACCATCAATAGGAACAGCAATTTGCACACACTCATTCTAACATTAACCAACAAATTGACATTACAGTACATATGTACGGGTGGAAAAAAAACACACAATATGACTGCGCACACACAGAATGTGTTCATACTCGCGGAGTCTACAGCATGCGTGTTGAGTGTTGTTAGCGAAACACGCGCGCGCGAATCACGTCCACGTGGGGTCACTTGGTTAGGCACAGGACAGGCGGGCGGGGGCAATCAATTTCCGCGAGCAATAACCGCGCAGAGTTACACGGGTCCAGTGTTCGATCGCACCCTAATCCACAAGCCTCCCTGCACCACACACGCCAACTCACTCACCATCGCGTACACCATCGGAGATGGTTGCACGGCAAAAGGCAGCCCTGCAAGCCGGGGAAGATGGTGAGACAAGTCACGGCACGACATTCGCTAGAGCCGGAAGAAATTGGTGCGGTTCGCTGGCTTGACCCCGACGCCACCACCACACACAACCACCACACACCACCACCACACCACCACCACCACACTACACACCACCACCACCACACAACGGCGCCGTTAGATAGACTGCCGGGCGGGTGCCGTCAGCAGCAAGCAAGCAGCCGTTTGAGTGAGCCAGCAGCCGTGACGGCCAAGGTTTTGACTTGCCCCAGTGGTTTGTGTTTGCTGCCTCTCGTCCTCCCCCTCTCTCCCTTCCTCCCTCGACTCCCCCTCCCATCGCACCACCGCTGGTACCAGCCCACAATCGTCCCGCCCCATGAATGAAAGCACCGAAACCCTCCCCGCCCTCTCTCTCTCTCTCTCCCCGTGTCAATTACCAGCGACAAATCCCGTGCCACGCCTGCAAGGGAGCCAATTCACTGCGTTATACAATCACCCGGTAAAGTCACGTAGAATGAGAATAAAATAATACAATGAAATTCTCACGACGTTTCGGCCACAACGCAAGCGGCCGTCTTCAGGTGAAAGGAACAGACCTGTCGGGACGACAGAGCTTCATTGAAGCTCTGTCAGAGCTGGCAGAGCTTCGTTGAAGCTCTGACAGCTCTCATTGAAGCTCTGTCGCCCCGACAGGTCTGTTCCTTTCACCTGAAGACGGCCGCTTGCGTTGTGGCCGAAACGTCGTGAGAATTTTATTGTGCTATTTTATTATTTTATTCTCATTCTACGTGACTTTACCGAAAGAACCAAAGAAGATGAATCCTTGCAGTCACGAAAGCTTTAAATCGAAATTGAATCACCCGATAATAAAGTCGCGCCCTGCGAGATCACACGTGCAGTGGTAGTACTACTACTACCTATGTGGTGGGCATTGTTAAAACGTCATTTGTTTACGTTTGGAATGATCCACATTCCCATCGTTGCAATTCTCGCCCGCGGTTCAGTTGAAAACACGTCGATTGATGCACCTGAATATAGACATCGATACGTATTTAAAACAATAACCGAACATCGGAATTATATTTGGAAAGTGCCATTGTTATCCGGTTCCTTTTTTATGTTATTTTAACGCATGGGAAGAAAACTAAATATCCTGAAATAATTCACACACGTAGAACACCCAAGAAAACAAAACTCTTGTTGACTGTCGATGATACTAGTTGTAATTATTGGCGAAATGTCGTACGCGAATTGTAAATGTTGTGGGTTTACTCTCCAACACACCGGTGTGCTATACTAGTAACGAATTGGCACGTTCTGTTTACGTGACAAACTTTACTAACTCGCCTTTCTCCCGTCCAAGGACGGGTGTATTGCAGTAAATCTGAAACTTGCAAGCAGAAAGCAGACCGCGACGTGATATTAATTACATCAATTCGTGTGCAATTTGTAAGGGCGCAGTGACACAGGCCTATTTCATTTGAAGGTTATGATCCCTTTGTTCATCATGACGTCCTTTTTACTTTGATGCCTCAATAGCGTTACGGAGATCGCGTGATGTGAGGGTTGTAAGTTGACGCTGAGGAGGAGGGTCACCCGCTAATTAATATTAATGGAGGGGTTTCTATTTGGAAGATGTCACCTCTTCATGATTATTAATGTGGGGGGCTGTTCGATGTGGAGTGACGTCACGCGCGGGACACAGACATTCTTGGCTCATTATAGTAGTAACTTGGCTGTGTCGGGTGGTGGCGGGTTTAACGACACGTTTATATTTACGCGATCTACCCCAAAAACCTCTTATGGATAATATTGGTCGCGAAAGCCCGCTACATGTTAAACTGAACACTCACAACATTTCCAGATAGCCTACAACCTATAACCTATCAAACACCGACTTGTAAGCGGGTGTCTCACTGATAGTGGCTCCATTTCTACACCCACCACTCCCCAAAGAAGGCACTGGACTGCACACGTGTGTCTCCCACAACTAGCAGGATGCGTGTTGAAATCCTCGTTTGGGGCCGACTCAGGCCAACATCCCCTCCAGGGTCGAAAAAATAAACACCACTTTGTCAACAGTGGTTGTCCTATGGTTAGTCTGGCTCCTGCCAGGAGAATGTGGAATGTACACCACTGGTATTTAAATCAGTGGCTCAAGGCTGCCAATGGTGTTGAGCACAGCCCCGCTATACAAATTTCATCAGGCAGATAAACTTTTGCCTTTACATGTGTAGTGAGCGACTTACGAGACACGACGTGTAGAGGGCTCCTTGTTTATTTCTCACACTTTACAGGCAGAGTCACTGAGCGACATCTACACTGGGCTACGTAGAGCTGATCCACTCACACATCCCCATCACTGGCGTCTAACGTTATAGCTGGCTGACTGATACAGCGACGACGACGATAGGAACCGTACAGCGGATCGGCCATACGGCCGGACGATGAAGAAGAGATGACGGCGAAGACAGTGACGGCAGCCAGGAACCGAACCCCCACCACATCCCCGAACCCCTGGTTGCGTCCCCCTTATATACTCCTCGGCGTGGCCAAGCCCCGCCTCTGGCCACGCCCCCTTCTAGAACTCTCGTGCAGGTTCCAGGAGCTTCCCGACTGATCCCCACCTCTGACCTTTAGCCCAGTTACACCCCCCTTATGGTTGGCGATTATTATAACGCACCCATGCCCGTAATGATCAAGCTCAGCTGCATCATACTAGAGAATGTAACGCCAGAATTACAATTCTTCAGCCAGCTGTGGATAGAAAATGGCTGCGAAAGATGCACATTTCAACCTTTTTTTAAGTTAAAATAGGAAAGTTTCTCTGAACGAGAAATGTTTTTAGGCGGGACTTGAAGATCCCTGACAGCCGTCGGCAGAGAGTTCCACAGTCCGGGTACCACAGAAGCGAGATGTTAATTACATTGCCTGATATGCAGGAGGTCGTGGGTTAGATCCCGACCCTCATGCCTGTATATTTGGAGTTTTCATGTTCTTCCCTTGGTCGCGTGGATATTTTTTCCCGAGACTTCTGGTTTTCCCCTCCATGTAAAAAAAGTGCGTTTCGAGTATTTGGCTGCTATAAATGTCCACATGTTAAGCCACTTCGTTGAACTATTATTTGTGATAGCCAGGTCGCTTCTGAAAAAGAGCTTGGTAGCTCAGTGGGCCTTACCTGGTAAAATACAATGTTTAGTTTAGACCTCAGAGTTCTTGTTGGAACGCAGGGACTCAGCAACAACTCCCAAATATATGGAGGTGTAAGGTCATTCAGGGCCTTGAATGTGAGGAGGACCTTGAATTGAATACAAAGGTGATTATGTGTTCTGGACGCGGAGTTTGGGACATGACCCGAACTCCTGTTTTTTACTGAATAATTGGAAGCTATGTCGCGAAAATTATCTTTGAAAGATAAATAAACAGACTGTCTACAAAACAAATATTTTTTAGTCCATTTAACTCATTGCCCTCTGGATCCAGCAGCCTTTGTTCGAGCAAATGAATCTCTGAACTTATGTCGTTATTGCCAAGAGCACTCCATCAACGTGACAGGACTGTTTACAGTGAAACTTCCCCAATTGTTTAAACATGAAAACTGTGGACCGATTTCACCTTCTGCGTCTCATTAACAAGGCTGAACTTTGTTTTCACAGTGAACAGCCCATTTAATCAGCACAAAGCATCATACAAAGTTGACTGGGAAATACAACATTTAAGATAATATAAATGAGATAAAGAGGGACGAAATAAAATGTGTGCTGTTGTTTTAAAGGGAGCGATGTGTTTTGTGTGAGAAGGTTGTTCACTTTGTAAGTGATGTGTGGTGTTAAGAGTAAAAAACACTGTAACTTCATTACAGTGCATTAAGTGATAACCTGTTTTACATTTTTTTTACATGTGTCATGCCATCAAAACATGTGTCTCCATGATACCTACAACACAATATAACGTAGTAATGTATATTATTAAACGCTGACATTATTTTGGTAGTGGTCACAGAACAAACACTGGCGAATGTTTCCTCAAACACAGGCATAATAATGACAGCTGTTATGGAGTCAGTGCACTCAACACCGTGCCAATTTGAGAGTGTACGTCCCGCAGAAATGGAAAATACAACCATGATCACAACCACCCACCAATCTCTATAGAGAATTACTATAATATGAGACCTCATTTGCCAGTAGCAAGATATAGTAATAGGTTTTTACCCTTTTATCTGGCAGCAAAACTGACACCTTTATACAAGGGATCATGTTTGCAATAACCACAATACAAGCAGTCAAAATGCAAACAAAAGAGACAACTCTGATAATAATATGCACTGTCCTTGAAATTGATTGGTCCACACCCGAGACGGCTTTTCTTAGAGCCTAGTCTCCACTGGTGTTGGAACAGATGACGCCAAAAGGCGTACAACTCAAAAACAGCGCACTATCAGAGTATTGAGAGCTCGGGGTAACCATTTCCAATATGAGACCTCCTTTGCCAGTTGGCAAGATATAGTAATAGGTTTTTGCCCTTTCATCTGGCTAGTGCGCTGTTTTTGAGTTGTACGCCTCTTGGCGGCAGTACCAACAACAGCATTTGCCTCGCCTTGTGTTGATTGTTTTTTTTTAATATGCGTGTATGTTTGTGGATTTTTTTTCTCCAACCCTACGCTGTACTGCTATTGGCCGGGCTTATCCACCACCCACGTATTGTGAAAGCAATTGTCCTGCCATGGAGGCCGTGCAGCGCTGGCGGTCCATCCAATTGGCCCAGGTGACATCTAAAGGTGGCTTTCCATTGGCTGCGAGCACAATGGCGCCACGCCGGAAGACATCAACTGCGCTGCGAACATAGCCTCAAAGTAATTATTAAAAGGCTCAGCACTGCATCACCTTGAGGCCAAAATGTGTAATGGAATAAGTGCGCATCGAGATACAAAGTAGTTTATATGTAAGCCTTGGTGTTGTAAGACATGGCCAAATGAGAAACACATGAGAGTGGGGTGGATTGACAGCAGTTGTTGAGGCTCTTTAGTGTCACAACATAGCTTCTCCATTATGTAAACGAGATGCCCATTTTGGAGGGAAATGCCATTGTCGCTTATAGTCGCCGCTATTTTTGGCACGTTCAACAGTAATCATATTCCCTTTGGCAATGCATCATCTGTTTTGGCGCAAAAAATGAGAAAACACATTTAATTGAAACGTTGTGACAAAGAAGTTACACGAGCCTATGGATATTACCATGTCAAAGCACTGACACGGCCGGATTGATATCTCTGGGTTCAAATCTGGGCATTCATTCATGATATGCCAGGTTCTCGTGTGTAGCCAGC